CACTTATACATGTACCTGTATACTGTAAAGTATTTATAAAGCACTAACAATTGAATAAACTCTGTGACATTGATGATTATTATCCTATATGTATCAGAACACATTATCTCTTTGCATTGAGCATCATTTTGTTGGGCATTATAAGTTACTTTGGATACAAAGCTGTAACATGGCCAGGTGTAAATATTTTTACAAGAAGTGGTGAAAAGCTGAGTTGTTAGGGGCCGTTGTGAAGCCTGGCTGTTCTGCCTCGGTGCAGTGCTTTCCCCAGAGTATTTACACTGTTTCTCTTCACCGTGCAGAGTTAGTGCAGCTCCTTTTCCTCTAGGGTGTGAATTAGCTCTGAGTAAGCTAGCTTGGATGTCATAGGTCATTGAACCGTTTGGATTTACCCTCTGAGCCTCTTTCAAGACAGGGATTTCACACCTGAACTCACTATCCTTAGATGAATACCCTACTCTACTTGCTGTTCTTAGACTTCTCTCTCTTCCCTGCTTCCTATCTTGTCATAACATTTTTGGGAGGTCTTGTTTTCTCTTGACGGTGAGTGGGAAAATTTTGAAATTTCAACAATATTTAGATGTGAGAAATGTGCTGAACTCATTAGACATTTCTCACCTGCTCCTGATGTTCTCGAGGTAGCTCATTGCATCATGCCCTGAACCTGAATTCTTTGAGTATAGATCATTTGGCTTTTCCCACTATTCCTTACTGAAAAGTAGAGCTTTCTTTCCTTCACAAGAGAAAGAAAAATGAAATTCTTCAGGTGCTCCTTGAATCATCCTTGAAACAGAAGTTTTCTCTCAGCCTTTCCAAGGAACATTTCAGCAGTCATGCTGAGGGACTGTTTCAGTTACTTTGTTAAAATTATAAAATTATTAAGGTTTTAGTGCTGTATACTACAAGTATATAACCTAAAGTAGGATTACTTATCTTTTCATTTGCCACTAATGAAAAAAAGATCTTATTAAATTACAGCTATTAAAATGTGAATATGAAATGTGCTTAATACTGAATTTTCTTTCTCTGCCACCTTCTGACAGCTTTGTTCAAGATAAATGTAACTTTTATGAATAGTTAATTCCAGTTACACATTGATAATCCAGTCTTTGAAAAACACTTTTATTTGTTTTCCTAGTGTTTTTTTGACATACAAACTCAGAAGAGAGTGGCAGCTCAGAAGCATGTGCTCAGAGCTGTCTGTGTTCTGTCTATAAACTCTAGCACCACAAACAGTTATTTTTGGGTCAGAGAGTCATTGGGATGCTTGGCCAGTGAAACCTTTTCACTGGAGATTGTTACAAATAGCAGAGAGGGGAAGAAAATCCCAGGTGAGTGCTCACCAGTAAGTAGGCAAACCCAATGCTTTCTTTTTATATGTTAGTATGGAAGCAGGGGACAAAACCAGCAAAGCTGCAATCTACCTACACTTCTATTTCCTTGCAAAGAGAAACCATCTCTTGACTTTTGTTGCACCTATAGCTTTGTTGTTCCCTTTCTCAGTAGTTACCGTTGCACTACCAGAATAAAACCAGCCATCAATGCTGCATACCTGCAATGCTGTTTCCCCCATTAGGGAATTACCCATGCTGGGGTGATCATCTTCAGTCTGGCAGTCAACAAGGTCTTGAGTTCTGTTACTCCATAAACCTGTGCACTGCTCTTCTAAACGTGGCCCTAGATTTCTATCCAAACAGGGGGTTTGCTAATAAAAAGAAAATAAGGATGATGGAACTTGTGCTCCTTTAGGAAAGCCATGTGTGACAGGGCATTAAAAACAGGCTGAGAACTCAAAGGGACAACAAAATAAGAGAAGGAATGATCTTCTTCTGGTCTGGGGCTATGGACAGAGAAAGAAGCAATGCTACCAAGTAGCAGTCAGAGGTGAGAGAATGAGTATCTTGCTTTCTGTGCATACAGAGGGATTTTCTCTTATCACATACACTGTGGTTCTACAAATCCACTGTTAGGTTAAAGCATAGCTGTGTCTGCTCAGGAGCAGCTCTTTGAAAAAGCTGTAGGTGTAATATGCCTGTCATTAATCAGGCTGGGTGCACATCACTCTCAGAGTCATGGAAAATGAAATGAAATGTTAGTCAGTGGGTGAAGAAATGAAGACTCATTTTTCAGGTCTCCTTACCAGATGAACAGACACCTTTTGATGATACCAGCTTTCTTGTTTTCCTTTTTCTGATTGTCAATTTAATTTATTGGCTATTTTAACTCTATTGTAGACAGCAACTGCCATACACAAAATATGATTAGATATATATGCCTAGAACAATTTTTAAAGATTAAATGGTAAAGAATATAAGCAGATAAACCCCATAATGATAGTTGGAATAACTAATAATTCTGATCGAGAAATATCAGCTCATCACTCTAAATTATCAGCTATTAAGAAAATAATTGGTTATTAAGTATTACTTAGATCTGCAGTACTATTTTGATGATGCCAGAGTCATTACTGATTTTCTGTCATAAAAAAAGTTAACTTCTTGCATTGTATACCATTGTTACTCCACAGAGGATCACTGCTAGAGGTTTGGAAACTTGTAAGGCTCCATTTGAAACACCAACAAAAAAAGACATTTATATTTCAAATGTAATTGGAGAACACTGGTCAAATGATAGAAAACAATCATGTAAGAAATCTCTTTAAGATTTCTCCATTCCACACAACATCATGTGCCCATGAGGCAAATCTGTAACAAGAATTAACACTGAACAGACTTATACAGACAGAAAACTTTCCTTGGCCTAAGTAGCCTGCTTCCAGAATAAACCACTTCCAGTCCACAGAGCCTTCTGTAAGTTAAGACTCACAATCTCAACAACTTAACTCCAAGCTAAGGAGAGGAACTAGGGGACCTACAGATCACACCACCTCCTGATCATTCCCTCAGCAACAGTAAATACAAGGATTTTACTTTGCTACTCTTGCCCAAGCACATAACCACAACATAAACATCATCTTCTATTTTGTTTCTTCCTCAGCTCCAGAGTGACAAAATTGCTTTTTTCCTCTTTCTTTGTCCCCGGTAGAGACACAGGTGTCTGTTCCCTGACGCACATCTCCCTGAATGAGGTCTGACATTCCTTCTCTTCCATGCAGATGATCTAATTATTCCCTGATGCTGCTGGAAGACATTGCAGTTTACACTCTGGTAGCTGCGTCTCACAGTGCACACACCCAACATCTGCTCTGGCTGACTCCTGACAGCCCACACCAGTCTGTGGCACAGGGCAGCACGGACAACTGACATGGCACAGCAAGTACAATCTACATCACCTCTACACCTTTAAAGCCAACTTCTAGCATTAAATTCACCGATGCTGTTTCTTCAACTGTTTATGAGCAGGCTGTGTATACAAATCTCAAAGCACAGTTTAGCCTTTAATACATTTTCAGCTCTTAGTAAGCAATGACTGTTCAGAATAAATTTACAGAACACACATCATGTTAATATTTTCAACTTTCCAGTCAGAATACCATGTAGTATAACCTATCATCTGTTTACAAGAATGGAGTAGTTCATAAGATGTAGCATGTCAAATAAATGTCTTAAAAATGTTAAGAGGAAAAAAAATCCACATTCTTTTCCTTATTTTCCTTTAAAATATGAAGGCTGCGTGAACACACACTTATTCAAACCTTCATTTCAAGTTAGCCATCATAGTGCTTCACTTTCCAGTTCTTTATATGCTGTGAACCTCCACGGTCTATGCAGTTGTTTCTAAGGTAACAGATCAGGATGCCTTGTGAAAAAATGAATCAGATCTTGAATATTCAAGACATCTCCAGTTGCAGAAATGAGAAAAGGGCAGTATCATCTCAACTGAGGTTTCTCAATATCTTTTAGACCCTGGCCTGATTTACAGACAAGAAAACTATAATCCACCCTAAGGCTGCAGTGTGAGAGTGCAGTGGCATATGTAGTTTCAGGCATGTAGACTGTCAGAAATTTTTAATCAGAGCCATAATTAAGGAATTATGGAGGCTGCTCTCAACAGAGCCTCATTGCAGGGCACACACAAAGAGAATACAGATGAAGAATGTGTTTGGTAGCATTGCGCCTTCATTCCAGCCACTGACAGCTGCACAGAAATCTTCCTAAACATGTGATGTGTAAATAAAAAAAAAACACACTAAAAATGAACATGAATCAGCATGTGAAAATAAATGCATATACTCCTCCCTCAAGCAACCAAATACGTATCATTTCCATCAAAGAAAAAAAATCAATATCTTTCACAGGTGATTACCTCAATCAATCATTTTCAGTAAATGAGATCACTGGGTTTTGTTGAGGATTTTTTGTTGTTGGTCATGTTGGGTTTTTCAACTGTCTAGAATTACCTTTGGTTTCTTTCAAAAGCTGTTTTGCTTATTACCGAAGTACAGAAATCATATAATCACATGAATGCAGGCAAGGCATACAGAGAGAATACTAACCAAAATATCACATAAGGCTTTTAGGAAACTTCCGTTATCACAAAAAATTAACTAAATTCTTTGCTTAACAGTCTGTGACATATGTTTGTTGGATTATGCATTCTGGAATATAGACAAATACACCCATCATCTGTGATAAAATAATCATAGAGTAATTTTCAAATGCCCATCATAATGAGACCTAAACCATCACACTCATAGAAAAGGACTGAGCTTGATAAGATGCTTTAGAGCTGTATTGCTTTCCACATTGTGTAAGTAACATCGTGTAAGTGTCCTGGTAGCTTGGGGACCAGATAAAAGTCATGGCCATAGGAATGCACTAGTTATGACTACCCCTATCTGTCTTCCTGTCTCTGAGTCTTGTGATATGTTACAAATTACTGCATGCTATAAATGTCTGGAATCAAAACTATTCTGAATATTTATATCGCTTGTTTAGGGATATTCTCCAGTGGCTACTCTGCACGAAGAAAACGTTAACAGGTTTTGGGACTGTATCATTTAACAAACTGGATGGCAGGCACGTCAATTAGGGTCTTACGTTCTTGGAAAGATGTGAAGAGCATCTGGAAGCGGCTGTTTCGGCTGCCTTCATCCGCCCACATGCGGATTACTCCCAGACCTGTGCGCAGCATCACATCGTTAGCAACAGTGCTGCAAAACTTGGCTTTCAAATCCTCCACAGAGCTGCTGCCATCATAGACAGCTACAAAATTCCTTTTGCATTCATTGGAATTCTGCATCTCGTAGTCCAAGAATCTCAAATAGATCTATGAAAGAAACAAAGAAAACATCTATGGGCATTTAAGAAGGACTAAACAAACATTAAATACCCTTGCTCTACCTTGTGGGAGAAAGGCTACACAACACCACCATGAAAATAAGTTTGCTGGAAGCGCTGATCAATAGCCTACTTCCCTGGAAGAGCATTAATGGGGAAACTGAGCACTGTTTATGCTTCCTGCTATTTTGTCTTGCTTCAAATTAGAATCTAGAGGAAGATCCAGATGTTTTTGCTCTTCTTTGCAGTAAGGTCCTGATTTCCAAATATACACCTGTCTTTGAGTTGTATGTACAACAGTCTTTCAAGCTGAAGGACAGAGAAGCTAGAATTTTCTTCCTTTACTGGCTGGCACAGTATTGCTCTATTGCTTGCCTGACATGGAAAATAAGGCAAATAATTGCTGCTCCCTCCCCAGAGTCAATATGTGTCATCCTTGTGATATGTCTCAGCTACACTGATTCAGGAAGTGAGAATGTGGGAGCCAGGTAGATCTCAATCATTAATCTTTTAATGTTTTCTCAAGCAATTTGTCCAGCATCTCAGCTTTTATAAACAAAGCCTTATGGTATATATCTTCATTATTTAACAGGGTTGAAAACAAACATATTTCATGGAGACTGGTAGAAACCTAGAAAGTTTTTTAGGAAATGCCTCTTGCATATAAACTAAGTTCTCTCACAAATGTAAGAGTTGTATTGCCCTCTGCAAAGAACTTTATTCAATCTACCCAAAAAAGAAACAGAGCTGAAGAGAAAAAGTTATTTGATATTTGACTCTATATGGACTTTAATAGCGAAAACCATCCATTTTAAAAGCAACAGCAAATATTCCAGTAACAGAGAAGGCAAGTAATATTTTTTGATAGACACATGATACATAGCCAAACTCCCAAGTGTACCCATGACACTTCAGGAAAATCATACAGAAAAGTGAAGTAGGGCAGAAATAACATAAAAAGACAGTAAACATATGCAGTATCCAGGTATACGTGCCTTCAATTGAAGAAGTTCCCAAAAAGAAATTCCATTGTATTAGACATCATATATACATCTTTACAAATGATCTTCAGGTATTTTTTTATACACAGGATAATTTCTTAAAAACCTATGGATTTGCATTAAGTACACAAACATAACACATCCTAGTAGCAATAGGACTCATGACTTCACCTCAATCTATTAAAGCTCTCATGGTTTGAGAATTATGTGCTATTAAGCCGTCTGCCACTGTTTCATAATAGCTCAGAATTTTAAGTGTGCCTTTGCAGGTAGTGTATTATGGTACATTTTCATTCCTTGTTATGCTTTGCATCTGGGCTCTCTGAAAAGAATACTTGTAAAACAATTTTTACTAGCATATGGACTTTGGTATACTAAGCTTCATTTTGCTTGCTTCATCTTTTTCTAGTATATTATTTCATATAATAATCCTCACTTATGCTCCAACATTACCATACTCCAGAATAACTCAGAGTAATGTATTTCAATTAAATTGCACTTAAGTGAATTCTACTTCCACCGTGTAACCTGCTTTTTAAATTCTATAAATTACGAAAGCTTCTTTTATCGATCCCTACAAAATGGAACAGGTAACACCAGTAAACAAAGTAATATTCAGATGGCAATATCCTCTATCAAGGAATACTTTTCATAGTGTTTTTTTTTTATTTCATTTACTGGTTACTCCATCCCTGCAGTGGAATAAAAAATTACTAGAGTTCGGTCACTTGGCATTGCTGAAATTTTCTCAGAGTATCCACCATTTTCTACGAAAGTGTTATCTTGAAATGTCTTGCCATTTCCTCCCCTACTGGGAGACATGCAGTTTCCAGTCCTGTTAAAACAGTTACCTTCTTCCTTGGCAAGGTCATACTTAAAGGCTTGCTTTGAATTCTGAATATTTCTTCAGTGCAGACTATGCATTTCGGAAGTTCTGTATCACTGGCTAGAACAAGCATCTTTACTGGCTTTACAAGCATCTCTTTGTTCTTTTCTTTTATGGGTCTCTCTTTTGTTCTCTGCTTTCTTCCTCTCATCTCCAGGTGTGCAGGCATCTGACCCTTTGCTCCACCTCATGTTCCAAATCATTGCTCTTGGTGTTCTACAGCTAATTAAAGCACTTCTGTCTTGCTGATAGCTTACAACTTTAGCCCCCCCAGGTAAACTTCATCTGCTGTGTGGCTCCTGCTCTTTTCTTTTTATATAGGATCAGCCACCTCCACGGCCATCAGGCAGATGGTTGACCTTCGCAGCCATCTACTTCCTAGAAACTGTTAAACCTCTGACAGGAAGTGTATGAAAATATTCACAAATTAACTGGAGTCAAGCACAATGAGCAGTGAAAGGTCAGTGAGAGAACTGCAGAGAAGGATTTTGGATCAGTCAGTGACTCAAATGCAGCCATGTGGAACTGGGGTGGGCTCTCATGGTTTGTTAAGACCTTCTTGTGTTAACAGCTCCTGAGATCCAGCTGGCACAGGCACATTATTGTCTTGCCAAAGCAAGATTATGCAGGAGGAGGGATGGAAGGAGGTAGAGCTATGCACACGCAGCAACTGGTCATCGCTGGGACACATCGAAGAATTGCTTCTGTGTCCTACAGACCCATTACTCCTGCGCAGACAAGAGTGTACTCTGTGAAGCCCTGGCACCCAGCCTCTCCTGGGAAACTGCTCAGACCATCTGCAGCCCATCTCTGCAAAACGTTTCCCTTAGAATGGGGAGTTAAATGTGTACCTACCTCTTCTGTCCTCCTCTAACAGAAGTAGCCTGCTTCAGATAGGTGCTTCAGTGCTTACCAGGTTTGTCACAGGGAATAATACAGTAGAAACCTTCTGCAGCTGATTATATACAATATTGTATAGACATGATTGTTCTCCAGAGAGTAAAACATTAGATAAATATCTCCTAAGAAGGCACAGAAGGCTTCCAACATATTAGTGTCATGAATCATTAATTTTACGCCATCTTATATATACGGTCTGTATGTTACAGTATACCATACAGACCTGAGAGACTGTACAGGTATAATGGAATGTACACATATCACACTTTTGTCCATTCTTCAGAAAAGCTCTTACTTGCTCCAGAAAAAAAAAGTATCTTAGTCTGACTGTAAAACAATGGTCAAACTATGCTTTACCTAGTGGAGGAAAGACCTCTTACACTTGTTGACTTGTTCTCTGCATCTTTCCTCCTTTCTTACATATAAACATTTATATGTACATATGTGGACATGTATACATATATATATGCACACATATGTCTTACTTAGGGTATCACATTTCAGTAATGAGATGTAAGAATGAAATCTTATATAAATCACAGGAAGTGTGTGTTAATCTTCCTTGTGATTATCAAACACCAGCTCCCACAGCAATTTCCAGCATTCATCAATTATTCCTGATCTGTTCAAATGTTGTTTGTATAACAACACAACAAAAATCTTAGTTCTATGAGCTTCTTTCACATTCTGTAGTTTCTGGTGGCACACTAGCCTTCTTATAAAACACCAAAATATTTCTTAGAGTCACAGTTATAAATGCTGAGAAAGAATCAAGTGAACAGTAACTTAGCATTTCACCTTGAGTTTTTCAGTGAAGAATCCAAGAGTTCCAGTTCTTCCCAAACCCGAATCCTGCTGTTTGTCACACCAGTTCATTCATGTGTGTGAGAAACTAAACTGAGATCATAACATATATAGACCTGATAGGTACTGGAAGCACTGAAAAGAAGTATTTGACTTAAAAATCCATGTTTAAACTTCAAAAGAAAGATCACACTTTCATAAATTAAAGGAAATAAATTCCTCATTTTCTGAGGTGAACTGGAGTTTCATTTTCATAGTCTCCTTTGGAGATGACTATTCCCAGAACTTTATATAAAGTAATAAGTGCTTGATACAAAGCTCACCGAAATCAGTGGGTATCTTTCCATTTACTTATTTGGGTCTGACATATGGATTAAAACTGCAGTGCATTTTTAAAAACTGGAAACTGATTACACAAACTGACAACCTGATATTGGATCACATTTCATTTTAAAGAGCCATAGTAATTTAATTGCATTTGCATGACTCTGCCAATTTTTATGGTTTTATTACTATATATTTGCCATTGTTCCTGTCACTGGCTGTAAGACCCACACTGGCAGAAGAAAATTACTAATTCCCCAGTGAAAGAATAAAACTGATTATATGACAAACTGTTATCTAATGCAAAATGTTCCTGATACACAGTTTTCTGAAATCAGTGGCAATATTCTCATTACTTTTACTGGTATGTCAATCTCACCAAAAGAAATTAAACAGAAAGTGAGAAAGAAAAAAAATCAATATTTCTGGTTATTTCATTTGCTGAGATCTTAGTCATTACTTCTACAGCAATGGATAAGAAACTTTGCTCCTCCAAAAGAAAACAAATGAACAAAAAAGAGGTCACAAACTCAAATGCCACCATCTGCCTTCATTAAGGCTTTTTTTTTAATGATGCCAAAGGGAGCTTTTGGAAATATAACATTTCTGTAGATAGACACATTATATTAGCATAATTGGGACATTCTTGTTGAACAGAACATCTTATTTGAAAGTGGCAGAATAACTGCCATATCTTCTTCTTTCACATTTTTGTTGTAAAGTTTGAATATGACACTCTCCTCAAATCATCAGTTCCACATTACTTAGAAGAGTAGGCTGCTAGTGCACAAGTACTAGCTTTAACTGAATTTTAAGATGTCACTGTAAATGCCAATGCCATTAGCAACAAAACTGATAAAACCTCACTGCAACTGTGACATATATAATTTACATTCAGTCACACTAGATTTTAAATAATCGTCTTGTCACCTTCAAGGTTTGTATTGTCAACATAATAACAATAAAATAAATGCTGGGTAAGTTTTACTCTTTTTTTTTTATTTCAATTTGAATAGAACAGAAATCTGACTGCATGCATTAAAAAGGAAAACAACAAACACCACAAAGAACAAT